GACCTTTACAAGTGGTGGTCAGCAAACGCAAAACAGTATCCAAGCCTGACAGAATTCGCTAAGATTTATCTATCGTCTCCCAGCAGTAGTGTATATAGTGAGAGGCTATTTTCAGAAGCAGGTATAGTTTATGAGGAAAAGCGCAATCGTTTGCTATCAACAAATGCTGAAAAAATTGTTTTCATTCATTACAACTTACCACTGATAGATTTTAAGTATTAAATGTAATAATTTATGATTAAAATAAATACGTTTTTGAGTAATATGTGCGGTTTTTTTTTTCATGATTTGGTATTCGGTATTCGGTCGAATGTTGCGTACTATTCGGCCGAATACCGAATATTAAAAAAAGTAGCCGAATAGGCCGAATACCGAATAGTAGCCAAATATTCGTGGCATCTCTACTTTTAATATGAAAAAATAAAACAACTCTAATTATTTAATAATATTTGCAGTGTATTTGGTTCAACAATATCAATGCAAGTAAATCAGTTAATAAAAAATAACTCATTATTGCTTTCTTGTTAATTTTTAGGTCAGTTATTATTATTATCAAAATATGTTTTCTAAAGTATGGAATATCTAACATTGAAAGAGGGTTAAAAAAAAACACAATAAAAATTAGTGGATACATTCCAAAACCTTCTTGAATCTTCTAATTTATCTTAAATCTTGATGAAAACTTTTGTACCCTTTGTAAAACCACATTTGTATGAATATTTCAAATATAATTGTTATAAAAATAAAATTTCAATCTTCAATAATTGAGAAAGAACCATCAGTGGAAATAACCCACATTTGGATAATTTTGTATGCTGAGAAATAATTATCATCTATCATATTAAAAATTGTTTTTGTTATAATTCATGTCTTTTCATTATGTTATAAAAAAATATTTTTTAATTTAACTGAATAAAGCATCTATTTATTACAGGAAATATTAGATTAAATTAAATTATTAAATTATATATTACAGCTATTATTAATTTTAATTATTTTATAAAATTTTTTGTAAGAAAGAACACTGCTGCATTAAAATAATGATTATTAGTTTATATATATAGTACATTACTTAAGAATTAATAGCATTTTTTTTCTTTTTTTGAAATATTGACATATTTAATATGAAATAATGAAAGAATGATGATTATAATTTTAAATAATGTCATTTTATGAGTCTAGTTATATGCAGAAAATAAAAATTTCTAACAATTATAAATTAGAATGCATAAATAAATTCAAAAGACAATTTATAATAAATAGTTATATTAAAAAAAATCTATATTATAATTATAAGTTATTATTAAAATGAAATATATATTTATAAACTAAAGAAAATAAAAAAATTATGTATATTATAATTAAATTCAAAGAAACTTCTGTAAAGAAACTTGTTGAATAGAAGTGGATTTATTATGTATGTGACATGAATGCAAATTTCAATCCTTATTGGGATGTGAATTTATAGATTTTATTACATCCATGTGCATTTTGATAGCGAGAAGATATCTTGTTTCTTGTTATGCAATAATATGATGTTTTCAGAATATTACTTAAAATTATACTATTAATGAATACTAATTTCAGAAAATTTTTATGAAACAATTTTTCTCTTTAATTTTAAATAAAATTATAAAAATTCATTGAATATGGGGAGTGGAATTTAAGAATTTTATAGCTAAAAAACATTTTCACTATTTTTCTGTATAATGTTGCTATATCTATAAAAAAGTTTTTAAAAACTGGATTAAAATTTTCCAAAATCATCCTATGATATAAAAGAATTCTTATTTTTTTAATCAATTGGTACCAGTGTAGAATTCTATAAATTGAAATTTTAAGCCCCCTGTTGGAGCTCTCTTCAATTGTCCACGCCACATATAGATAACAATGTTGCGAGGAGGACTGAATACCTGTTCTTGAGTTCTGGGAAAAATTTCTGCAAAATAATATATTCTGCACTTAGGCAATCTTCTTTGGCGTCGCGTCGTTACCGAATCACAAAGAAATATGTAATTCAGTAACGACGCGACCCCTTGTATGACGAACGGCTTCTATCCTAACCTAATCCCCCCCACACACACACAATATACACATTATGTAACTTATATAGGCGATATTCTTTGTTTTACGTATACGATACGAAAAACACACAAAGTCATCGACGATACGCAGTCTCGATCGTACTCTCCTCCCCCTCATTTTAGCACTCCCACGGAAACATCTATTAAACCGTTACAAGTGTTATTCACATGAGCAGTTAAGTTACATAACACAAATTTTATACAATTAGATTATAACATTGCTACGCGTCATCTTGCGCGTCTCGAACGTACCAAACTGAAGTACAGTAGAGCGTCGATTATCCGAATCAATTGGGGACTGGAACTGTTCGGATAACCGATTGTGCACGAAAAATAGTTTAACTTATCCGATTTTGAAAATTTTCTCCGTTGCGTGTCGCTTCGCGTTGAATTTTCGTCGATGTTAAGCCTAACGAAGACTATTGTATCGTTAAAAATTATTTTTTTATTTTGTACAAATAAAATAAATATATTGAAAAATATAAAAAC